AAATCCTTCATGGTCAGATAAGTGCTGATGGAAGGATGAGAACTAAGTAATAATGCTCTAGAAGACAATGTAATAAATAATGTGAGTGAGCCCTCTGCTCTGTGGTTTATGGAGAGGCCTAAATGCCATGCCAATGAAAATGTCTGTTAGCATGGCCAAAAGCAATGCCTCCCAATAAAATTAGGAAAAGATTAAGAATCTTCTAATGAGTGTTTGGTGAAATAATAATAATAACCTGGATCTTCCAAGTTGATTGTGTTATGAAGATGATATGTTTTCTACTAATTCTTTTTGTGTTTCAATAGTGGATCATGATGACCTTGGACCAAGAGTCAAGTGACTGAAAGATAGAATTTCCCAGTTGCATTTTTAAAATATATGTTAAGAAAGTGGGGAATATGTGGTAGACCAACCTTGCACATGATTGAGTCACACTCCCTGGCTGGGTGCTGAGGTGCTCAGTCACAGAAATGTGGTAGAGCTTTCCCCACCCTTCTTGGGTTCCAGGGACTGTGTCTTATGCATGGGTGTGTCTTGCTATAGCCCCATGGGTGGAGCTATGCTCACTTTTTTCCTTTGTAATATAACCCCTTGCCCTGTTTAGGGTAGAATTTTCCATAGAAGTGCGTTGTGTGTGTCCCCTTTCTTTACTGTGCCCTTGGGTGTGGCCTACCCAGGTGTCAGTCAACCTGCTGACAGTGGACATCATGAAGATAGACTCAGCCCCCTGAAACCTGACCCCTTGCCTCATCTGAATAGTTTCTCCTCAACAAAATGGGTCAGTGCATGCTCTCTCTCTCTCTCTCTCTCTCTCTCTCTCTCTCTCTCTCTTTCTCTCTCTCTCTCTCTCTCTCTCTCTCTCCCTCTCTCTTGTTGAGGACCTTTAACTTCTGAGGAGCCATTACAGTGACCCCAAAGAAAAAGATACTTGAGTCTCTTGTGTGGTTATTTTGTGCAGCCCAGTCAGCCCAATTTAATTGGAGTGATCCCTGAGCCTTTTAGTCTTGAGAACAGAAACCCGGCAAAAAATTATTTTGTCTTTCCTGTATAATAGATACTCATCTGAGTCATCTAACAAATATTACTATTATATGGTGAGATGCTGGTAGTTCATAGCACCCAGCTCTAAATGATCACCTAGAGTTACCTGGAAGAAAGTGTGTATTGAAGGTAAGACACAGACATATTGAATGACTCTTGTGATAGAAAATTATAGGGAGGAAAAATAAGGACTATAAGGTTTGTGTGCTGCCCTAGATGCTTCTAAATGTGCTGGAGATAAGCTCAATGTTAAAAATTCTCAGTTTAATGAGTGATCAGACAAGCAGAAGCTTTCTCTGTCTACTACAAAATAATCGCTCAGCTCCCACAGCCAAAAATCAGATACAGAGTCAGATCCTGCAGGTTGCTGAATTTCAAAGTAGGTTGAATTCTCAGCCTTTTCAATTATCTTGTTTTAAAGAGCAGCACACTAATTGGGTAAAAACTGGACCCTGAGAACCAGGACCTCCCTTGCCAACCAAAGTTCTCCTACATCCATCTGGAAAAGGAATCCTGCCTTCCCAGTTGTAGTAACCTCATCTCCTGTGAATTCTGGTGAAGGAAGACAGCAATTCCCCTCATGCTTCATCTCTCTTATCCCTCATTCCTCCAGGATAACTAGGTCCTCTGTGTCCCAGGGGCTAATTAGAATGTAAAACAATGGAGGAGAAGTTTCTCACACTTTAAGACTTGCAAGATTTTGTAAAGTCATATGGGCAAACATCAGGGAAATACTAGTGGGAATAGATTCTCAAGGTATCACAGCATTGGGGGAGAAATGTAATAGGGTCTGGTCATATCCCATCTCATTGGACTGCAGATCTAAATAGGGAATTACATGATGTTGGTTTGATGCAGTGAGAAGGAAATTGCAGGTGCTCTACATGCACTGCACAACACAGAGGTATCAGGAAATGGAAGACAGATCTCTTGGAACTCAGTGGACCTGACGTGTTGGCACATTTCTAGGAGTCAAATCATTTGGGTACTATCGGCACATTACCTCAAAGACAAAAAATTTTGCTTTTCCTTAAATGCACAGTTTTGAACAAAGAGTCACCCACCAGGCCTTGTAGTCTTTTCTGCATTTGGAGGCACTATTCATCGCATCTGGGTGTACTGTGTCAGCACATTCACCAAGATACACATATGACAATCAACTGTATTTATTTATTATTAAATTTGTTTATTTATTTTATAGTAGGATGCATTTTGACATATTGTACACAATTGGAGCACAACTTCTTATTCTGTAACAGTGGTACCTTCACCTTATGAATGTAGCCCTCATTGCTCTAAGGCTTATTTTTAAAAAATGTTTATTTTTTAGTTGTAGTTGGACACACTACCTTTATTTATTTTTAAGTGGTGCTGAGGATCGAACCCAGGGCTTCACACATGCTAGGCGAGCGCTCTACCACTGAGCAACAATCCCAGCCCCTAAGGCTTATATTTTTACAAAATGTTTTTTCTCTTCTCCCCTCTCCCCTCCCTAACCAGATTAGGGAGACAGTGTTACCTTTTCTTCCCCTAGTTTAATGCCCTTGAACACACCCACTACAGGAAGGAGATGCCTGCTGAGGATCTGGGAAGTGAATATCTCCCAAATTAAAATGTGAATCCTAACAGCCATCAGGGTACCCTGGGGTCCCCCTACCAGAGCACACCTGGAATGTAACCCTTGAAGTTTCTTTAAAAACCCCCTGTCCCTCCTGATCAAGAGAGACACATTGGCATTGATTGGCACTGGGGACAGGGACCAATTCCTCTGGCTGCCCATGGTGCAGAGTCACTCTAGTAGTGTAATCATACATGTATATGGGGTAATAATGTCTGCCTCATTCTACTGTCCTTCCCATCCCCACAGCCCCCCCCCCACTCCCCTCTACACAAACCAAAGATCCTTCATTCTTCCCTATCCCTCCACCCTACTATGGATCAGCTTCCGCTTATCAGAGAAAACATTTGGCTTATGGTTTTGGGGAGTTGGCTTATTTCACCTAGCATGATATTCTCTATTCTATCCATTTACCTGCAATGCCATAATTTCATTCTTCTCTAA